GCTATCCGGTCTATCAATATAAATTTTTCCGGATAGCTACAGATCTGCAGCTAGTTGTTTGCGTAAATACGTATATACTATTCTACAAAATTTGTTTTCTTTTCCATTCACAAGTTTTTCCAAGTATTTTATCATTCTTTTGCAAATATTTCTTTCTCCATAAATCATAAAACTTGGAGTGCTACTTTTCACAATTCAATATATGCTTTAGATAACGTAAATGAACTCGTTCAATAATATCAATTTTTCATACCCCCATATTTCACAGCCACATTACGATACTTGTGAAACTACTTTATCAAAAAATCAATGGACATTCGAAGGGGAGATAAAACTGCCTATTTTTACTTATCACACCATACATTGCCTTTTGTGCTTGTTCAAATAGGTTTTTCTTGCTTTACATAATGAGCCTGTGCTAGAAAATAGAATCCCTAAATAATTAAAATCCTTGACTACTTCTATGTTACTGCCATTATATGTAAAAATATTCTTTAGATGTCTACCCTTTGAAAAAAATATTATCTTTGTTTTTTTTTTTATAATTCACATATATTTTCCATTATTCAATACCGGTCAAGGTAGCCTAGTGGTAGAGCTTTCGGTTCGTGATCGGGAGGCCCCGTTTCTATTCTCGATCGTCCCGCTGCGTCATACCTAGGACGCAAACATAGGTAGTGACTGTTCCTTAGACAAGCGCTCGGCACTAGAAGTGAAAGCCACGGGTCTTTCGGATAGAGATGGATATGGAAGGATATGGAAATAACGAACAGTATTCAATCTCAACGTCCATTAAACAAATATACAAAATAAGTGCAGAGCAAACACGGACCTCCGAAACATCAGAGGTGGGATCAGGTGCCATGGAGGAGTGAGCATCCCCTGCCGACCGGTCACACCCGCCGTGTGCTCGTTGTCATAATCAGGATATAACGGAAAATATCTGTGGTCAATTCAGTGTATAAATAATGGACTAACAATTGGTATGAAAAACGTCAGTCAGCATTTCATTCAATGATAAATTGTATTTGCTGACAATGTCATTGTATCGACCATAGAATTTACGAAATGATGACTTTAAACGAGACTGTTGATATTCTTGTTTCATCAACTTGCTTGTCAATAATTTACCTCGTTTAAGAAATTGTTCATACGTAGAGCATGCTCTTGCATATTGAATCAACTGAGATATAAATACTCCGTATCCAGGTGATGAAGGTATATTGCTGCATAAGTAAGGGAAGTTGACGATAGAAAAATTAAAGTCATCACGTTTATCATATAGCTTGGTTGTTAGCTTACCATTATTGTCTTTTTCAAGTAAAATATCCAAGTATGAAGCAGAAGTGTCGGACTCTGTGGTATCTTTTATCTCAAGCTCACCAGGATATATCGTGTCGACGTAGGAATGGAAATTATCATTATTAATTGACAATACGTCGTCGATATATCTAAATGTCGAGTTGAAGGCCACAGCAAGTGTTTTCTTCTTTTCACGTAAAAGATTTTGCATAAATTCTGCTTCATATGAATATAAAAATAAGTCTGCTAAAAACGGAGCGCAATTTGTACCCATGGGAATTCCAATAGATTGTTGGAAAACCTGGTCTTGAAGTTTTTCCTTCACTACTGTCAATATTTTAGTTAGAAGTAATGAAAGAGGCTTGGTTGAACATTTACTGGAACCTGCAATGTATCTTTGTTTGTAAGGACTCTTATGAAGTTTCGGAATCCAATATATATAAGGTAGTTCAAATTCATTTTGGCTCTGTGGAATATAAAAAGTATTCAAAACTGACAGGTGATTAGAACATTATTATATAGTCTATTTATATTCCCTTTATAATCTATACAAACGCAAACAGTTTATAACACTACATATTCACCGGATTTTAGGCCGTATTCACCGGAGGGTGAACAGCATTGTGATGTCACAATCAAAACATCAAATAACATTGTAAACAATAGTTGCAACAGCCGCAGCGAGCTACTTATCTGAGCAGGAAAACGATTATTCAAACCTTTTTCAGGATTATTTTTTAACATTTGGACGTCTTACACATAGCCAAACTCGGAAATTAAAACACGGAAGTTACAAACAGTAATCTGGAGGTTTTTTTATTTTCAACAATGGAAGATAGCAAATTATGAATATGGTGTCGTCAAACAGCCTTCAATGTCTTATCTATACAAATCCCGACTACATAAAAAAACAATTATGGACTCTTTTGGTGTTGAATATGGTTTGTTATTCACAAGAAAAATATCCATATTGACCTCGGCTTCGCCTCGGTATTCAATCTCAACGTCCATTAAACAAATATACAAAATAAGAGCAGAGCAAACACGGACCTCCGAAACATCAGAGATGGGATCAGCTGTCATGGAGGAGTGAGCATCCCCTGCCGACCGGTCACACCCGCCGTGTGCTCGTTGTCATAATCAGGAAATAACGGAAAAAATCCGTGGTCAATTCAGTGTATAAATAATGGACTAACAATTGGTATGAAAAACGTCAGTCAGCATTTCATTCAATGATAAATTGTACTTGCTGACAAGGTCATTGTATCGACCATAGAATTTACGAAATGATGACTTTAAACGAGACTGTTGATATTCTTGTTTAATCAACTTGCTTGTCAATAATTTATCTCGTTTAAGAAATTGTTCATACGTAGAGCATGCTCTTGCGTATCGAATCAACTGAGATATAAATACTCTGTATGCAGGTGATGAAGGTATATTGTTGCATAAGTAAGGGAAGTTGACGATAGAAAAGTTAAAGTCATCACGTTTATCATATAGCTTGGTTGTTAGATTACCATTAGTGTCTTTTTCAAATAAAATATCCAAGTATGAAGCAGAAGTGTCGGACTCTGTGGTATCTTTTATCTCAAGCTCACCAGGATATATCGATATGACCTTTAAAACGTAGGTCCCGTGTTGCGATAGGCGATGGCACGATAAAGAACCCCCGCTGCTTAATGGTCCTGAGTGCCGAGTATAGGTCAAAACTTGAAACCCTTCACCAGCATACAGTGACATCTCAATGAGAGTGAAAAATTCTCAAAAGGGACGTTAAACAATATACAATCAATCAATCTATTCTTCACAATATTTTCAAAATTCATTTAATGCTCTCTGATATGTCAGGAGACGCTTTGACCAAAATCAGGGGGCGCTTTGACCAATATTTGGGGGTGCTTTGGAAACTTTGTTTTTCTATAAAAATATGTCAGGGGACGCTTTGACCAAAATCAGGGGACGGTTTGACCAAAATCAGGGGACGGTTTCGTTGTATCATATTTCTATAAAAATATGTCAGGGGACGCTTTGACCAAAATCAGGGGGCGCTTTGACCAAAATCAGGGGACAGTTTCGTAGTATTATATTTCTATAAAATATGCCAGGGGGCGCTTTGACCAATCAGGGGACATTTTGACCAAAATCATGGTACGCTTTGACCAAAATTAGGGAACGCTTTGACCAGGACGGTTTTAATTGGGAACGCTTTGACTGGTTCCCATTCCAAGCATAGAAGTTTCGATATTCAACCTCATATCGACAAAATCAGGGACAATGCAGAAAGTTTACTTGATATTTCGTATATCTATTGATATTAATGTAACCAGCAGATGATACATTATCGCCTTTGATATCACACAAATTAAGTGAATTTTCTCTTCATTTCGGGGGAGGGAGTAAAAATTTTAAGCAGGACGTCTCTAAAAAGAATTTACTATTTTTAACTATAGTATGTCATAGTTATATAGCTAAAACTTTGATTTTTTGGATTTTTATCAGTTTTAGATTTCTCTTAAATTTGTTAAGAGTGTTTTAAGGATATCCGATCCTCAGCCAGGAAGGATAACTCCAAAAATTTATATTTTATTTGAAATGCATCAAAATGAAACATTAAAGTGAAAATTTTTCATGCAACAATTTTCATTTTATTCATCTTTATAAGATTCAAGGTTTTTGGAAGTCTTAAAAAAGGTCGTATAAAAGTTGACATTTGTACTCTATAAAAGGAAAAGAATTAATACAGTTTTAGAGAAATAAGATTTTCCTGAATCCAGCCTTATATACCAATGCTTTTTAACATGATATGAAATAAGAAGTGATTTGTGGTGTCTTGCAATGATAGCAATAGCTTTTTACACCATGTATTATAAAATACATGACGGAAACAGAAGACAAAAAATACCAAATAAGTATAAAAACCATGACAACTTCTCTGAATGCCTGGATACCTATCGTTTTTTAACCTAAAATATATTTGTTGATCAATTTACAATTAGAAAATGCATGACTGATATCACAATTCGCTTTTTCTGCAAAAATATTGGAGATTTGACAATTTTCCTTATATAAAATGATTAACTTTAATCTTCAACTTTAAAGAAATACTATGGATGACTTTACCTTACTTTGTGGATTCAGAGATACTTTTATGAGTATTTTTGATTGCTTAACTGCTAACTTTATAAACCCGAGGATCGGACTACCTTAAAGTTGGACACATGTGGATGTGTAAATAATGCTTCCATTTTTTAAAAATGGGGATGTATAAATAAAAGAACAAAAAATATAGCAATCTTAAATCGATAGTAAAAATACGTTGAATGACTATAGTAAAAAAATAAACCTTGATACAATAGCAAGCTTAGTAAACTGTAGGTAACTTAAGTATTTTTATTTGGGATAGCATAATAGAAATGATATCTAAATAGTTTTAAAAAAACAAATTAAGGGGAAAGTTGTATCCAGTTTTTAGTGTTGAAATGCAACATGGAGATGACGAAAAGTAATAAAGCCCAAAGTAATAAAGACAACAAAATTGGAAGTATGCAGTGCAAACATATAACTCTAAAATCAGATTGAATTAGGTGCCATCAAAGAGTAAGGGTCCCCTGTAAGATAAGGAATGCTTCTTTTAATTTCTTTAACTTTTTATCATGCATATTTGTGTTTGATGTAGCGTTCTTTTTTTTCAACAGGTTTTGGATCCTGATCATGAATGTACTGATTTCAATAGGATCTCAGGATTTTCGAAGAAAAGACTTGCCTTTTACAAAATAGCCTCAAAATTGAGAAGAATCAACAATATTCATTTGATTTTCGTCATAGTTGTAACTTCTCTTATAGCTATTATCCTTGCATTGGTGTTATTCAGATAATGAGAAAAGTGTGTCTCATGTATGAAATGAATTGTAAAAATTTTTTCGTGAAAGTTTGACATTTGGTAAAATATAACTTTTAAAAAAAATTTGTCAGTCATATATACCGAAATATTATTGTCAATAATTAAGTAATGTTTCACATATGTATTACCCAATTTTCATTTTTTTTTTAGGTTTTAATATTTAATTCTATTTATTTTTTTGTTTAAAAGAGAATTAAAGTTACTGGTATTCATTAAACAAATATACATTCATTAAAGTAATAAAATATAATGTATGGCAATAATGTGAAGTCTATCGAATCAAAAGTCGATTTCGGCAATACAAACCAGGTGCAAAAAAAATACACTCCTTTTGAACTTCAGAGATTGAATCAGGTATCGTAGATAATAAAGCATATCTTGCAGAAGGGCCACAAAGGCATTAAATAATTTTTTTTTTTAATTTTATTTCTATATGAAGTATAACTTCAATGGCTAACTGCTACTTCTCAGACGTGAAAGTTAGACAGTTCACATGTTTAAAAGAATGTTGAATGCATTGCTTTGATATGTACTATATTTCCCGGAAATATTTAGATGTAGGGATAAAAACAAGAATACTTGAAATAAAATACAAAAATATATCTATATGCTTTCTATGAGTGCAAAATGAATCAAACTTTTTATTAATATAAATGTTTGACTTTGTCAAAAAAATGTTGCTGACAAGTTTTTTTCCAGATAAAGCAGACAACAAACTATTTATAGAACTTGTTACAAATCTCCGAGGAGCAGACCTGGGTGGTCATTAATTAAAAATTCAGAAAATGTTATCCTGCAACTATCTCACAATCATTTGATTTAGCTGAAATAGATCAAAGTCTGTCTGTGATTTACATTTATAGCCACGAAAAAATCATTTTACAATGATGATATTTAAAAGAGGTGAATAAAAATATTTTTAAAATCATGATAAAAATGGCTCAAAAGAAGGAAGGTAAAATTAAGTTTATTCTATGTACCAAGATCCAAATTTCGTGGGTTTAAGCTGTATCTATGACAGAGTTACGTGAAAGTAAAATAAAGCTAGCAACTGTTCCTTGGCAAAGTGTTCTACACTTGAAGTGAAAACTTCATGTCATTCGGATGGAACTTTTGAATAAACTTATCAATCTTAAGGTATGTAGTCATACAATAAAGATCTTTTGCTGCTCAATGACATTGAGTGCTGACCAAATATCTAAATTTAAATCCGGTAAAAGCTTATATCTTGCATCATTTTTTTTAAAATTGCAAATTGTAAAAAAAAATGCTCAAAATAAATTACAACGATAGTTTATTATGAATGATTTTAAAATGAATTGATAGTAGGGACTGCTATCCATAAATATACAACAATGAACCTATTTTAGCTAATTTATATACCAGTTAATGATGTAGATGAAAAGAGAAATTAAAGTGAATCAAAATAAAGCCTATTGTCACCTGCCCTAAAATGCATATAAATGTGATAATGTTATACTCGTGCTTGGTGAATAATGGACCTAGATTTATGTCCAGAGACTCAAATCATTCATATTAAACTTTGTTTGCTTCCTTTTTACCTAAACACAGAATTCTGAATTAGCTGCAATATTTACGCTTTTAATACATTTAAGTTTTTAATACCAATACATTTCAGGGTTATATCTTCATATCTGAAATGTACCTCTTTTGACGTCTGGAATGTTTTTTTCTGTTTTTATCTGCTTTAATCCGGACTTGTCTACCACAACGTGCTTAGATTTAGTTTCTTTGATTAAGTTAGAGATTTGGTAACTGTATAACATTTTTTTTCAATTTTACTCCCCAAGGGGTTTGCCTAACGTAATTTAGACCTACGTATATTAGTCATAAAATGGACGCCATAATTATTTTTGCAGTAAAACTTTCCTCTAAAGTAAACTTCAATTTGTTTTGTAGATATTTTTAAAAATAATGACGAAAGAAAATCCAACGGTTGAAAAGGTTATTCTTCCATGGAAAACCGAGTGTCTTAGACTTGTATTAATAATTGTGATTACTGTAATTACTTCATTAGTGGTGCAGTTTTGTTGGATTTTGCATGGACCTGCAGCAAACATTTCAAAAGAATCTGAAGTTGCAAATAAAGTTACAGCAGAAACAAGAAATTTTCATTCACAGCAAGATCAATCAAAACAAGTTATCAGTGAGAAAGACGAGGAGAAAGAAAAGAATCAGAATCTACATATTGAAAATTCTTTTTATGACATTCAGATGTCCATAAATAGTATGACAGAGCAATTTGGCAGTATTTCTGATAAAATTAAGGAATTACAAAGTAAAGTGAATCAAATGGATGAAGATGCTGTTGAAAATTTAAAAGAAAAAGAACTTGTTTTGGATAATGTCAAGCAGTTAGAAGATAACTTGGAGAAACAGCTTGAGAACACAACAGCATTCCAAGAAAGATTGGAAAAACGTTTGAATCAAACATTTGATGGCGTTTTTAAAAATATCAGCAGCTTAGATGAACGTATAAAACCAGTTCCTAATTTAGTGAAAAGTGTAACCGCCCTCGAAACCAATAAAGCGGAGATTTTTGAAAAATACAAGAATCTTCCGAAAAAAATCTCCGATATTGAAATGGACGTTAAGCAACTAAAGGAAATGTTAAGCAAGTTAAGTAAGGAAAACAAAGATAGGGGTGTCACAACAAAAAGTGGTAAGATTTTACATTTGTATCATATCAAAGTCATAGTCAGATTCCACACATTTTATCTGTATTGGATTATTTTCTTTGTGTTGTGGCTATAAAAATGTATAATTATTTCAGAATAAATGGAAAATAACACATGTGATTAAATTTTTCAAGAACTCACAGAATGAATTATCGTTAACTATATAAAAAAAGAATCTGACATGCTTTTTAACTTTGTGATTTTTTCTTTTATTTTGCAGTGGATTTCCTTCAGATCTGTGTCAGTATGATCATGTTTATCTACATCATCATTTCTACCTGGAGGGGAAATACCGTAGTATATTTATCAAGTCGAAAACATAAATTGAAGAAATATTAACATGATAAGCAATAAGTTTAATATCCAATTAATTCATTTGATATTGATCAATAAATATATAGTGTTTGCTTAAATGATTTTTTTTTTTAGTCAAAAAAGGAAATTCAGCTGAATCGTTTTCGGGGGAGAGACAAAAAGGATCCAACTGAAAGCATTCCTCTCGTCATTAGCTTCAATGAGGACTGTCTCAGATCTCATGAAGATCTGATTGGAGGATTTATTGGCGATTACTATTCTATTGTTATCAAAAATTATGATGATATAAGTCAAATACGTCAAATTAAAGCTAAGGTAAGATCGGAATACAAAACATATGTGTCTCATTCATATATTTTTAAGATTGAAAATGACCTCTCTGTATGATCTCAAATGAGACATACAACAATGCACATCCATTCAATTCTAAAAGCAAATTATTATTCTTCCATGCAAAATATAGGTTTGGTTTGTTTTTGTGGATTTTAACGAACGTAATATCATAATGGAGGGGGACAGTGAGCCAGTGCAAATTAAAAGGGAAACGGTGGAATATATCATGAAAATGGGAGGTATGTTATAAACATTCCTCAAAATTATCATTTTTTTTCTATTTAATGATACCTGAGCCTCTGCTAGGACTCTAAAATCTAAAATTTAATTTAAAAAGTCTAAAAATGAAGCCTGATATTAAAATTTTTCTTGTAAAAATTTTAATTTCTATATGCATCACAATTAAATTGAAAGTTCATTGAAGTATTAGAAATGATATTGTAAAAAGGTTACATTTATACTCTATAAAAGAAGTACACAAATAAATTCATTTAAAGAGAAATAAGATATCCTTAACTTTAACATTAAATGCCAATGTAACCACCATTAGCATGATTTGAAATTAGATATGCGAGGTCTTACAATAAAATCACACATCATTTTTACCGTCTGTACCGGTAGTATGAAACAATTAATGCTATTTATGGCGTATGTGAGCTAAAAAAATAATTAGAGGTACTGTGAGCAATAAGGTGACTATATGATACCCCCACCTTCCATATGTATAGAATGATATGGAGATAGTGAACAGTATTTAATCTCAAAGTCCATAAAAGAATACAAAACAAGAGCAGAGCAAACACGGACCCCGAAACATCAAAGGTGGGATCAGGTGGCATTGTCCATGTTTTGCTATGGGAAACCCAAAATATGTGTCAGATCAAAAATTAATATAGGAGGAGCACAATGGCAATATGTAAATAAAGATTAGATTCTGTGAAAGTTTCATCAAATTTTATTCAGTGGTATGAGAGGGGCTGCGGATAAGAGATGGGTACCCCAAAGCGTAACAGACAGACGGACGGACAGACGAACAACTAGACGGACGGATGGGCATACGGCTGATTACTTTATTCCCGCCTGCTCTTCAAACGGGGATATACAAATACGAGATTGAGGTATCCGATCTTTTATAGCCTCAGCTTCAGTTAATCTGTATGCATATCAGATATATAAATTGGCTGAATACTCAGTAAATGGAGAAATTACCTTTATGATTTAGTCTCAATATGCAAGAAGGGAATGTGTAATAATTATTACTATATACCCCCCCGCTTGAAAAGTGGGAGGGTATATAGTAATCGGGATTTCCGTCTGTCCGTCCGTCCGTCCGTCCGTCTGTTAAGCTTTATCTTTTATCCGCAACTCCTCTTATACTACTCAGTGAAATTTAATGAAACTTTCACAGAATTTTTATTACATATCGCCATGTGCTCCTTCTAATTTGTTATTTTATTCGACACGTATTTTAGGTTTCCCATAGAAAAACATGGACATTGCCGTTA